GTCATTGTTTATTTTTTAAATTACATTGAAGTATTTTTAATAAAATAAAAATAAAAAATACAAATTAATATCTAAAAATTTTTTTCTCTAAATTATTATATATAAAATTATTTATTATATGTTATATTCTAGCTATTATTATTATATTTTTTAATTTTAAAATATTATATTATATTATATTATATATTTTGTTTCCTTAAAGTGAAAACGGCTGCTGCCTGAATTCTTATGATTCATAAATAAATTTGATAAGTAATATATAATAAAATACATATATATTTGTATATTTTATATAAAATGTATTTAATAATCATTAGAATTCAGGCAGCAGTCGTTTTCATTTTAAAGCCTAAATTAATTATAAGTATTATACTATTGACTATATTTTTTCTCTCAGTGCTCATAGTTGCAGCCTTTGACGGCAGCAACAATTTCCGATCACATTTAAATCCAACAAATCCGATTGCTCAGTTTACTATTTTGATTTTGTATCTACCAGCAGATGTTGTTGTTGTTGTTGTTGCTGCTGCTGCTGTTGCTGGTGCTCGTTTAGAGCAAATTTTCAAGATCAACAACGCAGTTGAGCGTCACGAAGATGAAAAGCGAGATCTTTTATAGTGATTAGGCGCGGACAATGAATGCACGATGGATTCAGAAAACAAAATCCAAACCGAAAAACGCGACTACAGAACTTTATATAGGAGACAAGCTCAAAAGAGACAAGAATGAGAACAAGAACAAGAACAAGAACAGAGTTTTTGTTGATCTTTTTGTTAATGCTGCAATGGTCTTGCTGTTGCTGTTGTTGTTGTTGTTGTTTAGTTTGGTATTATGAGAATTGAGCCAAACATTTTTCAACTGGCTGCGAGGCGCAGACAAAAGCATAAAATACAAACAGAGCCTGGGATCTTTTTTATTTTCATTTTTTTTCTGTTTTTTGTAGTTTATTCTTTTTCTTTGGAGCCGTTGACAGAGCGTGCATTATTAGTGTCAACCCTGTGCCCGTTGCTGTTGTTTGTCTAAACATAATTGAAACGCGCTTTCAATGAGTTAATTTGGAGTTGGCTATGGCACTTCATGAAGGACCGACTCGCCTACGTAAACACAATTAGGTGCCCAGTGACAGAGCCGTCGCGCTCGGACCACACGGGCCATGAAATGACAAAATGTGGAGTAAACGCACGCACTGGGTAAACAAAACCAGAGCGCGATGCCCACGAAATCTCTGAATGAGCAATGTCACGGGCTTCAGATCGCCGCCTAACACAATATTTTCATAGGTCACTTTGATGGTTTGGCATTCAAGAGGAGCTCGCTTACTCTCGGCCGATGCATCTCGCCGCCATGGCGTATGCGTAATTGCTTTGTAAGTGATATGTTAGCGACTACACACACACACACACAAACACTCACATACATTAAGTTATACTGCCCACTGTCCAAATGACTTGCCACTTTGTGTTGCCAAGTTTAAAGTTGCTTAATTAGACGTCTGGATCGCAGTCTCGAGTCGCAGCGCAGCGCAGCGCATCGCATCGCATTGCCTCGCTGCGACTGCAGTCGGAGTCATATCTATGATATTTGCAGCCCATGTTGACAGGCCACAAAAGATATTTAAGGCTAGTGCCGCTCCCCACCGTCCTCGAACATCCGCACGCACACGTATACGCACTCCGCAGCAACTTCATTAACAGCCGCAGCGCCGTTTAAGATGTAAAAATAAAGTATTATTTATGATTATTGTGAGAATTTCACAATGGCATGCGAGAATTTATTGTTAATGCTTTGTTGCAGCCACCACAGGCTGCGGCTGAGCCGGCTGAGAGACAAGCCCGAGCGGCCGCTGAACGTTGCGTACCATGGGGCACATTCTGCAGCTGAGCTAGCAAATTGTGAGAGAATTCAAGAAGCGCAATGATTATTCTACTTGAATTTGTTTGAGATCATAATTAGGGATTAAAGATTTTTCTTCTTAGCAGCTCAAATATATAGTTGCTCCTGTGACAAACATCTAGCTAGCAGCTCTTTCAAATTTTTCTTAGTAAGCTCTCCACATTGCTCCACTGTGCGGCTCACTCAGCTTCTCCTCAAACAAACAATTTACATTGCAAGAAGACAGAACAAATGCCGTCAACAACAAATTTTGATAATTTCTGGTTTTGCACACACACACACTAACATATACATTCATACATACACACACAAATGCATATTTACATATTTCACTTATTTTTCACGCGCTGCGATTTTCCTGTCGTCTTTTTGATGCATTTTTGCGGCATGGAATCGCAATTAAAGTTAAATTTTGATGTTGATGCTGATGCTGTGACAGGCGAGCCATCTATGGTATTGTGGCTAACACTTGGTATACCCTGAAGCGGCTGAATGATGGAAAATCCGGGCATGATATTTTCTTGAAATGAATGAAACGGGCAGAAGACTTTAAAGAAAACTGAAGCGATCTTCCACTGTCAATCGCAGCAGAGTTGAATTCCCAGAGCGTGTTTTCAATTTCAGCAACAATTTTAACCTTTTCTTTATAGCAGTATCGAGTATTTATTATTTCTATCCATATCTCCAGGGTATCTGCCAGTCGGCTACCCTCGACTAGAGAGCTCTTTACTTGTTTTGCTTCGTTGCTGTTTATGATCAATCAATATTTGCTTGTGAAATGCCAAACATTTCCTTATTGCTGCTGGCTGTCGTTGTTCAACACTTAAAATGCGTTTAGCAAGCGTTGCCACCTAGCGGCCTGCCACTCACAGTGGCCAAATGCTGCAATTTTCTACTCATAATAATTAAACATTGATTTTTTTTTTGAGAATTCATTCATATAAATTTTTATTGTTTTTTTTTCATATTTTTTCTTTTTGCATTTTGTTTGTTCGATTTTTTTTTGTTTTTTTCTTGTTTTTTTTTTTTCAATTCATTTTTTAATTACTAAAATTTCATAAAATTGTTTAGACTAAATTGTAAGTACAACACTAAATTACAATTGTATGTATGTAACTACTATTTGAATATTTATTTTCATGTTGTATAAATAGATGTATTTAAGGTCTTATCAACTTTATACAATCTGACGCATATTTGTCCTGTGTGTGTGTGTGTGTATTTTTTTTTTAGGTTTTCTCTTTTTGCAATAAAAATATAAATTACTAAAAACGACTATTTAAAAAATTAAATATTTATAAAAAATATATATATGTATATGTGTATACTAGGTGATTTAAGCATATATCATATACTGTATGAGCGTAGATAACAAAATGTATTGTAGAGAGCGTTAAGTTAATATTTACAAAAATTAGTTGAGACAAATGTGTGGATGAGCGCTGATTTATCAAATACACACATGTGTGCATATATTGATGTGTGTGTGTGTGTGTGTGTATGGGTGTGGGGGTGTAAGTATATCCAACATTGGTTAGCCGCACAGTTTTTTGATTTTTCATATTCATTTTCATTTTCGTTTTCGCTTTAGCACTTAGCACTTTTATAACTAGTTTTTCTTTTTACACTAACGAGGAACCATTTGCAAATTAACTGTAAGTTTGATGAGTTCGTTTTGTGAATATTTAATTTTGATATTTTGGAATTTCGCAATCAGCTGTTGCGTCACACTTGCATACTAAACATTGTTTGTTTTGTTAAATGGTTTTGAGATCAAAATTAAATGTAAATTGTTTTTATTTTTGCTTTTGTTTTGTTTTTATCATATTAAGACTATATACTGTTCTGAAGACTTTCAAACATACGCACGTATATAAATTTTTAAAGATTTGTTTTTTTTTTTTTTTTGTTTTTGTATTTTGTATATTTCATTCAATTTTGTTCGTTTTTTTGTGAAATTTTCATTTAGTATCAAATAATTTTACGCTTAAGACTTATAAATTCAATACATTTCGTTATTAACTATAAATATTGTTGACTTCTTTGCTATAATTGCTCCAAATTTAAATATATAAAAAAAAAGTGCCAAAAAAACTAAAAAATATTTTAGAGTATGAAATAAAAGTTGTAAATAGTGTAAAAATTAAGCACTTATTATAGAATCACTAAATGTTTTGCTTGTCTTCGCATGTTTGTGGTTTGTTGTCTGTATGGGGGCCTTTAGATAGTATGGGTATATAATTAAGCTAGAGTTAAATTTAGTTACACTTTACGCTTATGTTTATTTATTAGACACTAAAAGTAGGGCGCGAGATAGTCAGTAATTAATATATAATTTTTGTTTTTTTAATGTTTTTCTGTTTTTGTTGTTTTCGTTTTCGTATATCAGAGTTGACCTATAAAATACTATGTACAAAATGCTAGCGCACTACTTTGCATAGACAAGTAGAGTCGAGCGGGCGACCATGCAGCGTCAATGAGGAATTTTTTGTATTCGCTTAGCTTCTAAATTAGTCTCTAATTATGTGCTAGAGTTCTTTGCGTTAAGTAGTATTTACAATTTATCGCAACTAAGTGATTCTAATAATAATAATAATAATAATAATAGTTGAAGCAGATTTTTCAGTAACATGCAAAACGTCAGTAAGTGTGTGTGTGTGTGTGTGTGTGTGTGTAGAGTCCAGTGTAGTGTGTAGAGTTTCTAGTGGCTGCCGCAGGGCGGCGCCTTTGCCAGGGTCAAGTTAAAAAACAAAAAAACAAAAAAATACAATTGGATTTCTTGAGAACAGCTTTATATATGTGTATATAGATTAGGCATATATGCACCACATACATACATATATACATTGAGAACTTTATGCTTACGTCAGTCCATGCGAAACTAAAATTTTAAGTTATAATTACAATTTAAGGTATTAAAATTGATGGATAAATGCATGTGTGTGTGTGTTTGTGTGTGTGTGTGTGTGTTTGTGTGTGTGTGTGGGTGTGTGTGTGTGTGTGTAGGGCCTGTTACAACTCTGACAACTGCACTGCTTCAATCAACAACAAAGCCATTTGCGGCTCATTTGGCGTCTCTCTCTCTCTTTGTCTCCGTCTCGCTCTCCCTCTCCCTCTCTGTCTCCCTCTCTGTCCCTCGCCAGTCTTTGCTTACATGTGCGGCGTACCGCAGACAACCGTGCGTTGCGTCGTCGCCGAGCCGCTGCCCGTCGCCGAGGCGGCGGCCATCAGCTGCGAGGAGCAGGCGCCAGCCACGCCCGCCGCGGCCAGCGAGGGCCAGCGCTGGCTGCAGTAGGAGCCCTCGCCCAGCACCGAGATGCGCTTGCCCTTGGCCTCGCTGCTGCCCGTGCCCGCGCCCGCGCCTGACGCGCTGTAGTCTTTGGTTGAGCCGGCAGACGCAGCCGCTGCTGCTGCCGCCGCCGCCGCCGCTCCGGCAGCTCCAGCGCCCGCGGACAGCAGCTGCGAGGCGCGATGCATCAGCGTGGGATCCGTGTTGAGCTGCTTCTGCGACTTGGCGCGCTGCAGCGGCGCCAGCTGGCCCACGCCGCAGAACTCCGAGTTGGCGTTGTTGTCCGCCGCGGCGGCGTAGTTGGCCAGCGCGCCGGAATACATGCGGCACTCGTCGGCAGCAGCAGCCGCAGCGGCGGCGGCGGCCGAGGCGCAGATGTTGTTCACCGACTTGTCCCACGTGTTCTTGATGATGTTGGGATTGCTGTTGTCGAAGGTCAGGCCGCCGCTGCTGCCGCGCTTGACGCCCAGCGTGCCGGCGGGCAGGCCGACGGCCACGCCGACGCCGACGCCGCTGCCATTGTGATGGAGCGTGGCCACCGCATTCTGTTCGTTCTGCTTCCGGGCCTCGGCGTCGTCCTTCTCCTGGGCGCGCTTCCGCTTGCGCTTCATGCAGAACACCACGCAGGCGGCAATCACAGCCACCAACGGCATGGCCACAGAGAAGATGGCGATGAGCACAACCTGGGCGTTCGTCAGGCCATCGGCGCGCGCCTGCGTCGTGGCGCCATACTGATGGGCGCCGAAGGAGACCGACTCGTACGACTCCTCGTCGCACTGCCGCCCGCGATAGCCGTTGGCGCAGACGCACTCGAAGCTGTTGACGCGATTCATGCAGGTGCCGCCGTTGTGGCAGGGCAGGCTGCCGCACTCGTCGATGTCGATGGAGCAGTCCTTGCCGGTGAAGCCCGCACGGCACGCGCACTGGTAGTCGTTGTTCAGGTTGGTGCAGCTGCCGCCGTTGGCGCACGGCTTGGTCAGGCACAGGTCCACGCGGCTGCTGCAGCGCGGCCCGTGGAAGCCGGGCACGCACTGGCAGCGATACTGGTTGAGCATGTCGATGCAGGTGCCGCCGTTCTGGCACTTGTGGCCGACGCAGTCGTCGATGTTCTGCTCGCACTTGGCGCCCGTGTAGCCGTCGGGGCAGGTGCATTTACCGCTTGGCTGGCAGGTGCCGCCGTTCTGGCAGGGATTCGGACTGCAGTTGTCTAGGTGGAGCTCGCAGGTGGGTCCGCTGTAGCCGGTGGGGCACTCGCACTGAAACCCCTGCTTGCTGTTGCTGCTGGTGTTGCGGCAGCGGCCCTGGTGGCACGGCTTGTCCGCGCAGGTGAGCAGCTTCTCCTCGCACATGCGACCGTTCCAGCCCTTGGGGCAGACGCACTTGTAGCCGCGCTGCGTCGCCTCGTCCACGCAGGTGCCGCCGTTCTGGCAGGGATTCACGTCCGCGTCGCACGAGTTGATTTCCGTCTGGCAATCGTTGCCGCTGTACCCAGGCGCACACTGGCACGTGTACAGGCCCTGGCCGGTGTTGAAGCAGGTGCCGCCGTTCATGCAGGGCCGGTGGTTCGTGCAGTAGTTCAGATCCTGGTTGCAGAACAGGCCGCCCCAGCCCTCGTTGCAGATGCAGTCCCAGGGCTTGTTGCATGTCCCGTGCACGCAGCTCGGATACGGGGCGCACTCGTCGCACAGCGGTCCGCGCCAGCCCTTCTGGCAGCTGCAAAATAGAGCAAGGATAACACTTAATTAGTATGGAATGGAAGGCAAATTAAAGTCGGAGCTGTGAGCTAGTTCTTGGCGAATTATCGCCTATCGATAACAATCGAATTTATTTGCCGATCATTGCAGAAATCACAACGAATGCGAGGCGCAAAGCAGAGACAGCAATAACAGCAAATCGCATTGCTCATCAATGAAATATGCAAAGGCAAAGGCGAAGGAGGAGGAGGAAGAGGAGGAGACGGACACGGTTAATGCGCTCGGGGCGCTGGTTTACTTTTGAAGTTTGAGCCAATGCGAAAGCATGAAAGAAAGAAGGCGCATCACCTGCTTAGCAAATCACTCTCACACACACACACACACACACACACACACACACACACACACACACACACACACACATAAATCAATACATGGGCATGTATGTATTGTAATTGCCTGTGTGGGCGCAGCAACGCTTGACTGCATTTCGGTGCAGCTCTGAAGAAACTCGAACGGAAAGGGCAGCGGACAGCGGACAGCGGGCAGTGGACGACGACAACTTTGGCTTGAGATCTGCACTTAAAACTGACTCCTGCCCTGAACGATTTGTAGTGCACTGGGTGCCCTCCAGCGGGACATGTGCTTGACAGCCGAGCCCAAGGAGGAGGAGGAGGAGAAGCGTTTAAGGAAAAGGCATGTCAACTTGAAAGTCAAAGAGCGCAACAATAAAATGATGCGATGTTGTTTTTTGCATCTGTTCAAGTGCACATATCCGCACAGTCAGAGGGAGCGAGCGAGAGAGAGAGAGACAGTTTGGGGGACAGACAATTTGGCATTTCTCACGCTGCGCAAACACGAAATTAATTTATTTCATTTGCAGCGCGCTCCACTTTGCGTTTGCCCAAAACCCACAAAGGCACATGCACACACGCACACACACACTCACGCACGCACGCGCACTCATCGCAAATGCAATTTCGATTAATATGCTAACAAATGATCCTTCACCCACAAACTCTCAATTGGCAATAATTCAAAGCAGAGGCTCGATAATGAGCGAGACAGGGACAGCTAGATAGTGAGAGAGGGCGTGAGCTGTAGAGAGAACGAGTGAGTGAAAGAGACAAGTGGTAATTGATATGCGTCAGTGTGTACACAAAGCAGAAATGTCAAAAGCATTGGCGACGCGACGGTCAACTACCAGCTGTATGAGCTGTGTGTGTGTGTGTGTGTGAGTGTATGTGTTTGGTCATATTGCGCGCGCGCTTAGAATTATTAAAATATTCCCACCATTACGAGGCAGCGCAGCACAAAAAGCACTTTAATTTTCAATGGCTTTGGCTTTGGCTCTGCCTTCAGCTCTGCTGTGTTTGGCGTTGGGATTTGGCTTCGGCTCTGGCTCTGGCTTTGGCTGAGTGGCACACGCATACTTGAGCGTAACCGCTTGCGGTTTTTTCTACGAACCATCAACACGTCGGGGCCTATTTATAAAACAAACATTTTATCCCAAATCACATCAATAACATTCATACAGAAGGTGAAGGAGAAGGGGCAGGGGAAGGGCCACAACCGAGACAATGATTTTTCGTATTTGAAATTTGTTGGTTTTCGGTTTTTGGCACAATTATCGATTGAACCACAAAATGAAAATGTTTGATTTCCGTTTACGGCCGAGTGGGAACTGGCACTCGCTTTATTGGCCAGCAATGCATAAATAATGAGCAACATCCTGTCTTCGGCTAACTACATACATACATACATATGTAACTATCGGGCAAGAAGATGAAATCTAAGCGAACGGCGCAATTAGCTTTCTGCATGGGGGCTGGCAACGCCAAAAACAGCTGGCAACTCTACTAGTTGAGATTTGAGCTTGAAATTTCATCCATAAAATATTTGCCAGCGTCGTCAAAAGTGTTCGCTTACACCTTGCTTTGTCATTGTTGTTGTTGTTGTTGTTGTTGCATTTGCCCTATGAAAAATGTGGGAAAACTTTGTAATTCAATTTCGTTTGCCTCTACGTAACTGTGTATGTGTGTTTGTGTATTGCTTTTACTTGATTATTTCAGCAGGCACTCAAATAATTGTAATGCAAAACCTCGACAATCAAATGACAGCCAATGCACTCCCGGCCAGACAATCAGACAGCCAAAAGAATTTCTTGTGGTCGCACAAAACGTGCACTAAACGGGCTAAGCAAAATGACTTTGTTGCTATTGCCACCATTTGTTGTCGTTGTTGTTGTTTTTTGCTTATGCTTTTGCCCTTTAACAAACTTGGCAGCAAACACAAATAAAACACTGTAAAAGGTGTGTCCAATGACAATTGTTGTAGTTGTTGTTGCTGCTGCTGTTTTCGTTGTCGCCAGCAAACAAAACAAACAGCAATAAAAAAAATATCAAAAGCTCATCTTGACTAAAGCCAAAGCTTTGCCCAATTAGCAACATGTTGCGCGCAGCACGCAGCCAAAATGTTGCCGCTCGTCCTTAGCAACATAGTTAGCCCCGCTTCAGTTGGTTTTAGGCTATTTTACTGAATAGAATAAATATATACTTACATGCATTGATTCGGCTTATCGCACTGACCATGGACACAGCCTTTGGCGCATTTGGCTGCAAATAGACAGAGAGAGAGAAGAGTTCATTAAATTAATTGATATGTTGATGGGTTTATAAAAAGAAGAGAAACAATGCTTGAAATGAAATGGACACGAGCAGTGACACTTTCCCAACACACATTTGGCCAGCTGCGAGCTGCCAGCTGCCACCTGCCACACTGGCAATGCGTAGTTACACCCACTCGCGCGACACCACAGCCCACATTGATACGCGGCGGAGAGACAGTGAAACAATCAGACAAAGCGAACAGCATTTGAGGCAATTTAAAAGAGGAAAACAAACTTTCTTTTTCACGCCACTAAACGGGCCAAAGCGGGCCAAAACGGGCCAAAATAAAGCATCTTCGAAACAATTCGACACTAGATAGACAACAACTTTTTGGCCAAAATCATCATCATCATCATGAATCATGGCCCAAAAAACAAAAAGGAAAAAAAAAAAAGCAACGCCAGTGACTCCTAAACTGTGCGGCAGCAGGAATAACTTGTTTCTAATATGCGCCCGGCCAGACCCAAAAGGAAACACCACAAAATGAAATAATCCCATGGTCGCAAAGAGCTGCGCTGCAACAGCCCGAAAACCGATTCCCAAGCTCCAAAAGGTTCGACGAAAACTTCGATTGTGGATTCAAGCGAGTGCGACAGAGACGGGGCGAAGAAGAGCTGTTCCTATAGCTGAAGCTGGGCCAAGAATGCGGCAAACATGTTTCGTTCGGCCAGCTCTGGGGCTGGGCTCTGGCAGGAAGTATAGGGGAGTCGTCGCTGACGCCCGCCGCGTTGCAAGGGTCTAGCTGAAAATCGTGAACACTGCGAATAAGGCAATGAGCTCCTCTTTAAACTGCCCAGTCAGCCAGCTCAGACACTCTGATATTCTTTCATTCAGCAGGAAAATTGCTAGAAAATCACTAAAACGTGTTCTCTCTCCCAGCTCCTGCTGCTGCGGCTGCTTCTGCTGCTGCTGCTGCTGCGGCTGCGGCTGCGGCTGCTGCTATGCGCTTTTAATTCCCCCGCACGCAGTTAATATATATAAGCCGTAATATTGGCAATTGGCAATGATTTTTATTACATGGCCACAAGCGGAGGAGCCAACCAGACCAGATCAGACCAGACCAGAACAGGCCAGCGTGAAACACTTGAAATTGTTTTTCCACAGCGACTGAAAGTGAGTTTGTTATTGTTGTTGTTGCTGCTGATTTGCTGCTGGTTGTTGGCTGTTGGTAGCCCAGTCTGAGGATCGCTTCGTGTCTATTGGAAACGTGCTGCGGCTTTGCCGTATTCTTGGCCTGTGTTCACACGCCCGCAATGGCCGAACGCAAATGCCTCTTGTGGATTAGAAGCGTAGAGCTAATGATTTGGATGCAGCATTTACTTTCACTAGAAGACTTCACTCATGTGGGCAAACGGAATTCCCAGTGCTTATCGCATATGTATCTCATAGATGCTTGCTGTTGCTGTTATCAGTTGGCAACCTGTGTGCACACAGCGACGAAAGACACAATTGTTGTCTGTCTGTCTGTCTGTCGAAATATACAAAGTGCAGCCACAGCTGGCAGCTCATTCAGAAAAGAGAAAAGCAAACAGCTTCGGGCTGAAATAGCTCATTTCCTTGAAATTAAAATACACACACACGCACACGCACACACCCTCACACACTTTGCCGATTCAGAGCAATCGAAGTTTCATTCAAAAAAAATAAAAATAAAAGGCAAAAAATACAAAAACAAGTTGCAGACCTTTTGGGCCAATTTAATAAAGGCTAAGGCACTTCCACATGATCAACTTCTTGCGAGTTGTTGTTGTTGTTGTTGCTCTTGCCTTTTTGCAGCCGCACGTTTTGCCTTTTTATTTGCTGCTGCTGGAAAATAATTTTCGCACATGTGTGCGTGTGCGTGTGTGTGTGTGTGTGCCTTAATTTAAGCTCATTTTTGCGCATTTAACTTGAAAATAAAGTATAGCAACAGCCAAAAGAGCGGAAGAGGCAGCTGCTGCTGCTCTGGCTGCTGAACCGGCAGCAGAAGGACACAAAATTATGTGCCCGAAAAAAATGAAGAAGCAGCAGAAGCAGCAGCAGCCGCAGCAGCAGCCGGACTGGCAGGCAAACAGTTTGGCAGACCCGGTTTGAAAACTCGGACCACATTTATGGTGTAATCAGCCGTGGCCAGCCCTAAAGGAAGTTCTGGTCTCGTCCTCAGCAATGCGCGGCATGCAGACGACGCAGATACTCAAAAACGACATTCAGCCACGACGGTACGTCATGATGATCAAGAAGCTGCTGCGATTGCCTGTGTGTGTATCTGTGTGTTTATGTGTGTGTGTGTGTGTGTGTGTCCACACCACACCTTGAATATGGATGGAACCTGGGGCCACTTGCACTTGGCGTGGGAAGATTTTTGTGCTCTTCGTCAGTTTTGTGTGCTCTGATTCACGGTCCCTATGCGTACGTATGTATGTTGTGTGTGTGTGTGCCCCCGAAAATGCTGCATAGGTAGCTTGTGGGGGCTACTACAAAGGGCCGAGTTCGAGTTCAAATTGTGTTGTTTCTGCTTTTGCTTTTGTTTTGTTTTGCTTTGCTTTGCTTTGCTGTGGCTGCCTCGGTGATTTCTTTCGGTTTTCAGTTTTCAGTTTTCAGTTCGTTAGACGTTTTGTTCTGCCCCACGCCAAATGACAAATGATTTTTCCTCCACGCACATAAACACGAAACGAAAGAGAGGGGGAGAGAGGGCAGAGATCTTAACAAATATTCATTGATTTTTAATGTATTTGTTTGACTATTCGATTTCTTCCACTTTATGGCATTTCATCGATATTCAAATGTGCTTTTGGCATTCATTTTTGTTTTTCATTTCTGTCAAATCATTGCGTCGCTGCTACGCATTCAAAATAATTACACTTTTAATTCGTTAGCAGCTCCTTGTCTGCCCCCGCGCCCCAGCCGCCCCCCCTCAGCCCGTGGTTTCCACTTTTGCTGTCTCCTCTCACATATTGTGTACAATCATCTCATTTGATTTGACAAGCAAGTGATTTTCAATAATAATGAGAGCTGCCCGTCAAGTGCGGCACAAGAAACGCGGCACGTTGTGTCCACTTGATGAGGCAGCAACAGCAACAGCAGCAGCAGCAGCTCCAGCAGCAACAACAACAAACAAGATCCAAGAGCTTCAGCGCAAAGAATGTAAAAATCGTTTTTTGTAGCGAATGGAACTGAAGTAGTTGCCCCTTTTCAATGATGATATATGTATATACATATATATCCGTGTATATCTGTACATCTTAAGGCTAGCTTACTCATTTATCTATCTGTTAGATACTTACGTTTCTCGCAGTACGTGCCCTGCCAGCCGGTCAGGCAGATAATTTCGCCCGTCTCGGAGCATGTGTAGTGCCCGAACTGATCGTCCCGCGGCCGGCACAGATTCGCACACCCGGCGCCGTAATAGTGCGGATCGCAGGTGACGCGAAAATCGTATTCGAGCGATGTGTATTGAGATTCGGATTTGTTCGTCTTCCACTCGGTCGAGACGTCCAGCACTTGCTGCACGGACAGGCGTTGTATGAGCAGATCTGAAATCAGACAGAGAAAGGGATTAAAAGTTAGAGAGAGAGCTAGATGAGCAAAGTCTGAGAAAATACGAGCAGAGATAGACCTAATGAAGATTAATTGAATACAGTTTACAGTTTACAGTTTTTAAGGGTATCGACTGAACTTGCTGAGGCTGAGGCTGTGCCTGTGGCGTGGCGGCATTAACGAGCGCTTGGAATTTTGTTAGATTAGAAATTCGACTAGTGAATATGCGAGAAAAAACTCCAACTGCTAAGCAATTGCGCTTGTCACACTCGTTGCGCAGGCGCACAAGTCAAGTGCCATGCCAAGGTATGCGACCAGCCAGGGGTAAGTACTTGGTATTTGCACCAGGCAGCAGGCAGCAGGCCGAGCGGGCGGCAACAGGCAGCCAGCCAGCCAGCCAGCCAGTCAGCCAGCCATGCAACACACGACCAACTGAGCGTCGCAGACGGACGTCAGTTGCATTTTCAGCTGTTCGCTGAGCCAAGCGGACCGGTCTTTTTTTTTTCTCTTTTATTTTTGAGAAACTATTGGATGGCAACTTGTTTGCACCACTGTGTGTTTGTGTGTGTGTGTGTATACATAGCTGTTTTATATAGCCACATTATGCCATGGTCTATAAAGTAAATTGCAGGTGCATGACTATTCGAATTGCATGCAGCCAAGTCGAACCTCAAGCCGCGGCTGAAGCGGGCCAAGACTTTTGTTAAGCTACAGCAACGAAAAAGAAACATACACCAATACAAATACAAATATAGAACCTATTCGTATCTGTGTGTGTGTGTGTGTGTATGTAAATGCCAGTAAATCTCTTTTGCAGCTTAGCCAAGAATTAAGTGAAAATATATTTTGAAACACTTCAGCAAAAGCAAAAGTAGTTAGTGAAAGCAGAAGTTGTTGCCAAAGGGAACGAGGAGGGAGAGGGGGGAGAGGGATAGCCAGAGTTGGCTAAGATTCTGCTCGAATTGGCTAGCACAAATATGGCCAGAAATGCTGTTGGCCCCATAAATTGAAAGCTGGCATTGACAAGCGCACCAACTGGTTGCCAAAAGTTTTGACTAAACTATAACCATATTCAAAAATATCAACTAATTAATTACCAAAAGCAGCCAACAAATGTATGTGTGTGTGTGAGTGTTGCATAAACAAAATTCTAAGCCAGTTGCAAGCAAGCTGGCTTCACCTGACGTGGCAACATGGAAAAACGCTCAGCTTGCGCCAGCAACATTCGCCCAAAAATCGAAAAAATTTAATTTGCAAATAAACGAACAAGAATTGAATATTTCGCGTCTTGTGGTTTTATTTACATTTGCAACACACACGCACACACACATGTGTGAGTGTAAGAGATTTGTGGCATGACAGGTTATTAGGCGACGCGACGTACCGGCAACGCTTCAAGCGCAACGCACAATTTGACTGCAGGTTTTTCTCTAATTTTTGCGTCTGCGTCCAGTTTGGCGAGTTGCGCGCAAACAAAATAGAAATAAATGTGGAAAATCATGCACAACAATTTCTGCAAATATTTACGCAAAACGGTATTTTTTTGCTGGACTTTTTGTTTGTTAATTATCTACAAAAAGGATATGAAGAGAAGACATTTCACACACTCAAAGTGAAAAGTTGCGTGCGACAACTTTCGCAGCAAAGCTGAACAAGTTGATTTTAATGACATGAATAAGGGGAACTTCATGTGCGGATGTTGTCAAATCCCAAAAAAAAAAAAGACAAAAATACCCCAAATTTCCCTAGCGGAGGTATTTCAGTTTATCTGTGGTGAAAATATTGCCAAGGAGTGGCACTCACAAAATTTCCCAGCTTGGGATATTTATTTTGTAGGCAATGTTGCAAGTGCTGATAAATAATTTCCCTGCTTCGCAGCCATTCCATAGACAATTTGTGCTCAATTTGTTCTAAATACGCGTTCGACATTTTGTTGTTCGTTTTGTCGTTTGGCAAAGTGATCGAAATTTGTGTGCAACAGATTTACAAGGGGCAGCATCTTCAACTTGACTCTGACAAGGGGCAAGGCTTAAGTGTGAGGGCCTCAGCAACTGCAAATATTTAGTCGCAGTCGCAGTCGCCGCCGCTGTTGCTGTTGCTGTCGCCGTTGCCATCGCAGCGCGCTGACTTCTGCTAAAGGAATTTATAAAATACCATTTTATCAAGACACACGACGAAGCAAACATTGGCAAAGGGAGGGCGATGGGGCAACTTTTGTGTTTCTGTGGCAAAGAGACCCCGGGACTCTCGACTGTTGCTGGGCTGCTGCTGCTGCTGCTGCTGCTGCTTGATCCAATGAGTTAAAATTAAAAGATAAGCATTTTAACAACATCGCCAGCAACAGCAACAACAACAACAACAACAACGTGCAACTAACAACTTTGGCATTGGCAGAGATTAATTGGTAGGTAGGGATAGGTGAAAAAAAAAAAAAAATAAAACGAGAGAGAGAAAGAGAGAGAACGACAGCAAATGAGAGAAGCTGAAGAAGAAGAACGCCAGCGAATATCTCAAGAGCATGAGTTGGAAGATTTCGACGCATCAAGCCAAGAATCACCTTGCACGATGCTCAAGCTGTGTGTGTCTCCACCTCCTCCTCCTCCTCCGCCGTCGCCTGCTGCCCAGTCAGACAGGCCGTTGGACAATCGGCTGGCAGGCAAACAACTGCTGGCCTCCTGCCTGCAGGCTAACTGGCGAAAAGGTCGCAATAGTCGATGCTGCTCCTTTCCCCCCAGCGTTCCACTCTTTGCTGCAGGTTTCTTCAGCGGCTGCGGCTGTCTTTTTCTCCTTTTTTGTATGTAATTTATGTTAAACGAATATAACAAAACGAAAAAAACGAGCGGTTTAACTTGTTGCCGGCCATTCAACGCAGTCGAGAGAGACAGGCGTAAGCCCCGACTCGACTATGCGGGAGAACCTCTAAAGGAGACTTTGAAATAATGAAATTAATCCTTGACAAGCGGCTAGAAAACTGCGCCAAATTGAAATTGCATAGAGTGCGCTGCGAATAGCCGATAAAGATCTATTGCCCTGAAAGATCTCAGCAGGATATCTGAGGCTAAAGGAAGGCAGCGAAATCTACGGGCAAAGAAAACAATTAAAATTCCTAAAGGAACTGAAGAGATGAACGTATGCCTAATGGTAATAGAAATTCATTGGAAACCTACATAAATCTGTGGCTAGAGAAATGTCTAGAGAGTGTATACTTATATCAATGCAGGTAACAAAAGGCAGGTAGCTCAGGCATTGTGTGGGAAAAACTAAATGAAAAACCTGCTCTGATCGAAATGTGAAAGAAGTGGAAGAAGAAGAAGAAGAATTGATAGCACTGTGATGAGAATGATGTCCTTGGCTAGAGACCCCACACAGATAACACTAAACAATCCCCAGCATCTGGTTACGTGTGGTCCTTATCGCGCCGTGGAATCAGGCTCGCATCTCAATGCATGTCGCATTGTTCGAAGATGAATTACACGATCACTAAATTCCACAGCAAAAAAAAAAGAGAAATAATCAAAGTCCTGTGTGCGAGTTCGTGATTAAGAAAAAGCCAGACACAAGCCAAGCTAAAAAACTGCAGTGCAGCGCAAGTAAATGAGGCGACGACGGCGACGACGGCGACGGCGACGGCGAACGACCCGACCTCTGCACACACTTCCGTTGCAAAGGGAGTGAGCAGACAACAAAGGCGACAACTTTGCGGTGCTCGCTTCGTAGTTTGCTTGGTTTATCCCTAGCCCAGGGGCGCAGAGGAGAGGCGAGCCGAAGGGCTAACAAACGGTGCTAAACCTGACGCTGGCGGCTCAATGCCTCAGCCTGGCTGTTATTTAAAACCATTCAATGTGCCGGAAATCTTACACACACACATACACACACACACACACACACACACACACACACACACACACACACACACACACACAAGCTTAGTTGCGCAGTTAGCGAAACTAGAAATTTGAGCACATCAATGGATCAGGTGTCCCTCGCAGGATCATTGATCCTCGTCAGTGCCAAAACGAAATATGCAAAACATGAATTTGGTGAACAGGAAGCAGGATGCAAATTATGATTACAAACAGGATATGCGTCGATAAATTTTCGGTACTTACTGTTGGTGCGCGCATTGGCGCTGTTGTTCGTATCGTGCCAGGCCTCGACGATCAGCGTGAAGGTGCCCTGTAATACAAGAAGAAGAAGAAGATGATGATGATGAGAAGAAAGTCAGTCAATTGTTATAGATACTCGGAGATTTGGGTAAAGAGGAAGAGCCATGGCTTATCAAAAACGGAAAACGTAATCCATTTGTTGCGGCTAAACGAAATGCAGCACTTATGCGCAGCATTTAGCGCCGATATCATCTGGGCCAGGCCATAACCAGCATCGAGAGCTAATGGCTCGAAAGCTCTCACACTTGAGTCCCACAGCCCACAGAGCTCATTATAAACAGATTATGACAGAGCCAAAGCATGCTCCAAAGACGCCCACATGCCCCAAGCTAGCCAACAGTACAACACACACACACATGCACACATACACACACACATTTCAAATGCAAATGCAAATGCACAGCAGTTGGCAACTGGCAGCGCCCTCAATTCACACTTGATTACAAATGCAGCGCGAAGGAGGAGGCGAAGCGGGGAGGCGTGGCAAAAACCGGCAGAGATGACACAAAATCGAATAGCCGAAATGCATATACATATATACACATACACATATACATACATATATATCTATGCATATGTCTATATGCGTATTGGCAACATCTAAGTAGAGCTGAGCTTTACTTTGCAGAGGTGGCCAGAAAAAAAAAAAAAAAAAAACTAAGCTGGCAGCACTGGTTGTTGCTGGGCGTGTGATTGCGTCTGGCTTGGCAGCACTTCGAATTCGAATTCGAATTCGAGTTCGAGTTTGACTGCGACTATGCATTGCATGTAAATGACTAATTTTCGACAAACTTTCGATTGCTGCATCGCTGTTGCTGCCGTTGTTGTTGTTGCTGTTGTTGTTGTTGCTGTTGTTGCGTGGGCGGCAGATGTAGAATTAATTTAGTTGATAAGCGCAGTGCCGTTTGATTGCATAAGCAGCTAAAGCGCTTGCCAGACATTGAAAACTGCATTCGCACATAAACATAAAGCTGATGGGCTCGACAGGAAACAAATCAGACAAACAGAAAGAGACAAACACGCACACACTGACACACTCACACACATGCAGTCACACGTATACACATAGATCATCAACAGTTAACAATGGGAATTAATCGAATGCAGCGCAAAACATTTATTGGCAATTTTTACAGTAAGCTTTCCCATTGGATATGAATAAATTTTTCAAATGCGGAAAAACTTGCAATATTCTAGCAAACTCTGGCGAGTTATTATTATAAGAAACGACACATAAAATATAAAAATATATATGTATATTATATATATATATATATAATGAACATATATGAGCTCCAAAAATAAATGAGCGACAAACACACACATACACACACACACACACACACACACACACAGAGAGAGAGAGAGAGAGAGAGGAGGCAAGCGTATATCGCGTGCGACGACGCTGTATATCAACGTCAATATCTGCAGCATAGGGTGAAGTGCATGCCAAATGCATAGGGCGCATGTGTGGAGTAGGAGTGGCAGCCACGCAGCAACAGAGGCAACTGAGGCAACTGAGGCAGCAGAGCCAACAGACAAGACAAGACAAGACACCCGCCGACAGTCCGACAGACAGACAGACAGTAAGACAGACAGACAAAAGTAACAAAGTTCAATACACATGCAACAGCAGCAACAACAGCAGCAAGAGCTGCATCTAGAGGCACTGCCACAGACAACGTGTGCTAAAAATAGTCAACGATTGGCAGCAGCTGAAGAGGAGGGTCTCCGGCAACCCCCAATGCAGGAGGAACATCTATCTATCTCTCTTGCCCCCACTCGCTGTGGCATGCGTGCCCCGCGCCCAGCCCGTGCCGCTTCTCCCTGTTTTTTTCTTTCTTCTTTTTAATTAAGTGCAACATTAAATTAGTTGCTGCTGCAACTGTGGCACGTCTAGTCGCTGACTATAATTACATTTTATAGCTTGACCTAGAAATATTTGAAGTTGGCAACAAAATAGAGCATAGCCTGACCAAATTTCCTACTCTTTGGCATTTGACAAAGAAATGTCATAGAGACATGGAATCCAAATAAAATTTCCCTAAAAATTTCCTACCACTATGAAATTTCCCTATTATAAGCATTAATATCCTTTTCTCCCTTTATGTTAGGTATATTTTAAGGGAATTTCTTCAAAATACACTTCATATTTTGGCACGTGGCTAAATTATGGCTTACATTGGGGCAGCTCTGCGCTAATTAGCTTTGGCTAATGCATTTTAGCATATTTCTGCATAATTTTCACTTAGCCCGCAGCAGCTGCTCGCAATTTATGCAACTTGCAGCCAAACACAATTCACGTGCCGCCAAGTCCAGCTAGATAAACGTAGCTATGTATGTGGCACCCCAGCCCATGACTTTGCCACTTTAGTCCACGCATGTGTGTAATGATAATAATAGTGACGCTGCACATGCGCGCAAGCGATTAGAGAGAGAGAGAGAGCGAGCGAGCGAGTAACGGGCGAGAGATAAAGGTAGACATAAAGAGAAAGAGAAAGAGAGAGAGAGCGAGAGAGAGGTCGGGCAGGGAGTGGTGCAGCAAATCCACCCCTTAATTCAACCGCCGCACACGCTGCGGGCGCGCTGACAAGCGAAAAGTCGCTTGAAAAATACGTTACAAAATGCTAGCAGAGGCAGCGGTAGCGGCAGCGGCAGCGGCAGGGACTGAGGCAGGGACTGGGGCAGTCAAAGTAGATGTAGGGGCTTGGGCTGTAAATATGGCTGTAATACTCGTTATAATTAAGAAATGCATCGCATGCTACCGCCACTGAAATATATGCGCGTATTTCTTGGCCACTGGAGCAGAAAAGAAGAAGAAGCAGCAGCAGCAGCAGCAGCAGCAGCAGCAGAAGAAGAAACAGCAGCAACAAACGTGGTATGCAGCTTTGGAGTGCAAGTATTTCAAATTTCGAGTAATTTATTAGGCAAACACGTGCGCATGGCTAAGGCAGCGGTGGTGCTGGTGGTGCATAAATCTGCAAAGGTGATCAAAAGTCAGTCACTCGCCCCTTTCTCTCCCTCCCTTCTCGCTCTCTGCTTATCTGTCTAGAAAAAGTAACGTTCGCTTGCTTAGGGTTGCTTTGTACAGCGACAGCCCGTAGTACTCCCTCCTGCATTCAGTCCGGCCGTAGTCAGCGAGCTGGAAATTGTCGCCGGTGGTGCGCGGCGGCGCACGCGTTTTGCGGCGCACTTTTTTTTTCTTTTTTTTTTTAATAGCCGACAGATGTTTGCGGCAACAACCCTTGACAAGGACACAGGGCCACGGTACGGGCGGAAATAAGTGCGACGCACAGTCGCTGAGCTATAAAAAGCCCCCAAACAAATTAGCAAAAGATGCCGCAGAGTAAAGTATAATGAAAACAAAAACAAAACGGAATAAAGCAAAATGAAGAAGAGCTAAGAGAAATTACAGCGAGCCAAAGAGACAGCAATGAAAATTTTATTGACTGACTGACTGAGCGGGAGGAAACTGACTCACGCCGTGGAGAAATAAGTGTGCTGATCTATATATAGACGGAACATACAAATCGGGGGAGCAAATCTACCATACATATGTATATGTATGTACATATATTTATATATATGTGTGTTCACTTACCGGCCAGGCAAAGGTGAAGGCGAACTGTATGGGATTCGTGAAGCCTCTGCTCTGCAAGCTTTGCGCATCCGTCAGATTGAAGGAGTTCTCGCCCAGAATGGGCGTAACCACATCACCGTACGTGCACTGCGATGTGGTGTCAATGGTCGCCTGGTAGTGCTTCAGGCAGACCCGAAATCTCGTCTTGCAGGTGCCGATGCACTTGCCCGTCGTCGCATCCTTTTCACCAGTGCAGCAATGGCCCTCGTTGTCCCTGCCGTGCTCATTGCTGAAGTATTTCAGCCGCAATTCAAAATTGCCGGAACTGTGAACCTGCGAGAAGGGGAGAGACAGAAAGAGAGAGAGAGAGAGAGAATATTGCATTAGTATAATCAAATTAAAAAGCAATTTATTTAAGTTGACGTTGCGATCGCTGCAGCAGGCTTGGAAAAAAAGAGAGGAGGAAAATCAAAAAGAATGCAGCATCCCCAGCAACACGACAATAAATCTTTCAACATGGTATTCCAACCCAAACAAAAAAGTTGGAAAAAAAAAGCTGCACAAAAAATAAATGAAACACGCTGCGGAATTTTGCGAGGCGATCAGCACAGAGTCAGACCCAAAACCCAAACCCGAACCAAATACCAACTCGAGTAGCAATTGGCTGCAGATCGCGCAAAAGAGACCCATGCAAAGGACAAAGCGGGCTTATGAAATATTAAGAGTCAAGAACCAGGCAACAAATGCACAGCGAGCGGTCGCCTCGGACTTGGCTGAATTGAACTGAATCCGAGCGACTTCGTCTCGTTTGATTTCGTTTTTGAAGCGCCGCCACGGCGGTGACTCGACGTCGAGCACATTTGCATATTTGAATTTGCAAATTTGTTTGATTTGATCGTTGCGTCTGTCATAAATTTCTCAATTAATTCGCCTTTTGCATTTTACGATGCTGGGTGTGAGATCGAATTTGTAAAATAGGTCAGCGCGTGTTAACAACTTCATTAATTTCTATTCTCCTCCACTGATATGCATAAAACCATATAAGTTTCTCAAGATTAGCAGAAGCTTTTCTTAGCTTCGGCACGATGGGAACAGCTTTAGAATTGGGAAATGTTTTTAGGGAAATTCTTGTTCACATATAAGGCAGCGGTTGCTCGATGCTGGTCGCTAGCTGCACTTAAGATATCTATAATTATAACTTCGATGGCGTCCATAAATGGGCTGAAAACTCTCAACTCTCAATGCTGCGACAAGGCAATGCCCAAAAAGAGGCGATCTAGAGTTATTGCTCTGATTGCTGCCCGTTTGCTATAACTGTTCGGCAATTAACATTTTAACAACAACAAGTGAAGCTTGTTAAAATGACAATTTAATTGTTAACAAGACATGAGCGCTGACTGCAGAGAGGGAGGGCGGGATAGAGAGAGAACGAGAGAGAGGGAGAGAAAGAGATGTAGCTAGTTCTCTAGTTGCTCCACATGCGTTGGCTTGGGAAGCTTTTATTGTTTGTTTGTATTGTTGTTGTTGTTGTTGCTGGCTTACTTCATCTCTTTGTATGAACATGGGTGTTTAATTGCTCAATTAAGCAGAAGTGCGTCTGCTGTTGCCTCTTTTCATGTCTTCTTTCAGATGCTGTGTAAGCAATGCCCCCCTTGGAAGCACAGGTGTAATCCGTTGGGGGCCCCGAAAGAGGCACAGAAAAGGGAAATAAAGCGTGGCTCACCGACCACATAAAAAAGGGCGACGATGAAAAACTGTAGCAAAGCTGCTTAACTAACATTTAATGGGCTTGGCAATTGAGCTCTGGCGCTAACATTTGCCGCACGCCTTTATAATTGTAAATGCGGTGAGCCCTCACTTGTTGCCAGGAAAGCTGCTTGGAATAGAAAGAAAGAGACAGACATAGAGAGAGAGAGAGAGAGGGCGTCTTCAATTGATAAGATAAATAAATTATTGATGCTCTAGGAATTGTGAATGCAGTTCGCAATAGCGCATAAGACTTGTACAAATCAAACGAGCTGCAAAAAAACGCCCAAGATACACGCAAAACGAAAGACTTAAGCAACAAACGCGCAGACAAATGCAGGCAGCGGGCGCGGACGCAGACCGAGACTGAGACTGAGATGGCGTCGCTGCTGCGCAACGTACAACAAAACGTGTATTAATAAGCAGCGGGCCAACAACAAAAAAAGAAAAGAAATAATAAAAACAAAACAACACACGGCAAAACGGACGCAAAAGAGCAGCACAAAAAGAAGCAGCAGCAACAGCAACAGCAGTGGCAGCGGCAGCAGCAGCAGCAGCAGCAACGACAGCGCCGACGACGGCAACAGGCAGCAAAGAAGAAGAGGAAAACGTTGGAAAAAAATGTACAAGTAAAACCGAATTGTTTCCCACGGCATACGATTTTGCCGGTCAACATTGATGGTTAAAACGAACAAACGAACAGACGAACGACCGAGCAAAGGAACGAACGAACGAGCGAACGAGCGAACGAACGAACGATCGAACGACGAGCAACAAACGACGAAGCGACGGCCCGACTGCGCGTCGGTGAGTTCAGTCGGAGGCGCAGCAAAAGGTGTAAGCAAGAAACGAGCGAACGCCAGGTGAAGAAGCGGCCAGCAGAGACGGCAGTGCATCTATGCACGGCCAGCCATGTTGAAAGAGCGAGAGGCAGCTACAGAGAGAGAGAGAGGGAGAGAGTGCCAGAGAGCCTCTCTCTGAGAGAGCGCAAAAGCCCCATGGCTATAACAGTTTAGCGTGTGTTGTTGCTGTTGTTGTCAGCTGGTGCAGCCTGCAGCCGAAAGAGCAGCGCCAAAGCGCAAAAAGAGCAAAACGTGACTTAAAAGTGAATTGGAGTGTTGTTGTTGTTTTTTTTTTTTTTATGATTTTTTCTTTTTTTGCTGGCTTCATAAAATGCAGCTGGCAGCTGCTGCCAACAGCCTCCGCAAGCTGCGAGAGCGCCGAAGCCGAAGCTAAGAGCGAGCAAAAACTCGTTTTCTGAACGGCGCTTTGAAGAAGAGTAGTGCGAAAAAAATAGTAGTGTACGAATAAGAATTAATAGACGATCAGCAATGATGCGTTGCTGATGCGAGACGGAGACAGAGACAGAACAGAGGCAGCGGCAGAGAGTGCGCACTTCTTTCTATATTCACATGGAAAAAGCTCTCGGCCAAAGAAATGCTAGAAAAAGCAATAAGCGGAAGGAAGGTTAAGAGGCAAGTGCAGGGCATATGAATAGATACAGCTATGGGGCTGTTCGACTATTTGATATGCAACACACACACACACAAACGCACAGCAGAGATGAAGAAGCAAACAAAAAGTGCCAAAGCGCACTCAAACAAAGGCGCAGGCAAAGATTGTCAAAATATGTACAAAGCAAATCAATTTGCATAACAGCGAAACATTTACACACAAACTTACACAGAGAGAGAGTGAGAGAGACTCATATATACACAGACACGTGGTTGGTGGGAAAAGAAACAAAGCGGTGCAGAGTTTTTTAACTGATGTGCCTATGACACCAAGCCAAAATAGTTTTGTACAACAATTTGACACCGTTTGAATGCTCAAATGCGGTGCATACAACAATTCCCACACTTTTTGACAGTCGAGCAACAATTTCCCAAGCAGGGAAATTCTGCTAACCACCACCGCCCACCTAATGCAACAGTGAATTTACAGCGAAACAAATTTCTTTCGTTGAAAGTTTCTAAAATTTAAATTGAATATGCATTCCCTAAGTTGGAAAATTTTAAATTTCATAATTTTATACACTTGTTATAGTTCTTTTGTTTTTCTTTTTTATTTATTTTTTTTTTTTGACTTGTTTTGCCTTCAACTATGAACTTTATTACGCTTGAAGACCTTTTGGGCACACATAAATAAAGAGGGGAAAAAATGAGCTAGTGGAGAGAACTTGAAAGTTGAAATACCAAGTTATGCCAACTTATCCCAGGGTCTGGCCTGGGCATGGAGAGAGGAGAGAGAGAGACGAAGAGGAAGAGGGAGCTGGAGATGGAGCCGGAACGGGACAGACACTTGTTAAAAGTGTTAGAAAATAGTGCGTTGCATTGTTTACCTTTTGCTTGACTCCGTTTGCTCAGTTAGCTGTTGGTTTTTACGAGCCATGGTAAATTTATACTCTATATGAACGTGGTACTTTTTTTCTGTTTCTTCTGTTTCTGTTTTTCTTTTTTTTTTTTTTTTTTTTTGTTTTT